TATGTTCCTTGAATATTTCTAGTGTTCCAGCAGGTCTTTTAGCCAGAATTCATTGAATCGGCCAAAATTGGGTCACGAAACTGATCACGTGTTAACACCATTGAAGACCTTCCAGCTCGTGCTACAATTGGGGACACAATCTTTACGCTGAATGTCGGCACTCTATTTATGCACAGATAAGTACGACCAGCTCTTGTCACCCAATGTTTGTATCATATACTTTGTCGTTTTCTATTGCAGGAACAGGGGCTTCATGACAGCCTGGAGTTAAGCAGTTGAAAATTTCCCACTTTCGTTGACAAATTCAAAAATAAATCCTTCAAATTTGCACTTCTCTAATATGAAGAACATTTTTTAGTTATAATGAAAAAAAATTCTGTTCAGATTTTGAGAAGTGAGTTTGGGCCTAGAATCGTCATCACCACTTTGTAAGTTCATTAATTCCTCTTTAATTATTATCCTTGCATAATCAGACATTAAAAGACTTTCCTTCTATTCCCAAATGGTGGCCATTGCTTACTTGCTGAGTTTTGCGACTTGAATTTTCTTCAGCTGTGGAGAATCCAATTTCTGTTAATATGTGAAATACTGTTTCGTCTCCGGACCAGGGTAGTTTAACCAGGTTTCATCAACCGGAATCTTTTTTTAAAATCGTTCAAAAATGTCATAACATCGTTGAAAATGATGCAAAATCAATTTTGGCAGCTGAAAGTTTCCTCAACTTATGTGCCATACATGATACCCGCTTAGGCAATCATGTATCTTTCGATACATTACTGACGAGGCAGATTATTTTCCCGCAGTAGGTTGCCACTTCTTTCTGCGGTAGACCAGTTGCCATCCAAGGCTACAGAATCCGGTCTGTCCTGCTATTTACCCATAGCTGGGAGGAGAAGAAGAAGATTCATACCTTTCCCAAGGGGATAAGCACGTAAGTGAATATAATGAATTCGACTGGAATTCGAACTCGGCACTCCGATTCCTCAATCCGAGCTGCTATCCATTAATCCACCGCATGAAATAAAAAGGATTACGACCACATCACATGGAAACAGATGTTTTCTTACGATCACCGAAGTTAAGCAACATCAAGCCTGGTCAGTACATAGATGGGTGACCGCTTGGGGATACCAGGGGTTGTAAACATGGATTTTCAGGTGGTGTAATGGATAACGACACGGAATTGGAGCTCGAAAAGTCGATTTTCAATTTCAGTTACGGTCGATATATTCACTCACGCAGAAATACCGTTGAGAACGCTATAATTTCACTTCTTGGCTGTCGAAATATCCACAGTAGATGTTGGTTCCCACGTCTTCACAATTGAGTATGTGTTATACCTGACGTACCTATTCTATTATGAGTCTCCCACATATAATAAGTAGTAGTAGTAGTAGCGGTCGCCAGTTCGGCTCAGTGGTGTTGAGTGAATGAGTCTGTCGGACATTGAAGTATCATCTATCACAACTAGATTGCTGCGTCATTAACTCTTATTTCAAGTTCCTAACGTTTTGTACGTCGAACCTAATTTAGGACGACTTATTGAAATACAAGCCTCCACTGTGAAAACTACTCTACAACATTGGCGACCAGGAATTCGAAACTCATACGAAAAAAAAAAACTTTTCGTACGCCTTACTCTACAACAGTATGACGGACACTAAATAACGTTGTAGCCTTCCAGATAGTGTTGCATCTTGGCTGTCAAAATATCCATTCTAGCTGTTGGCTCATCACGTCTTCACAATTGAGTATGCTAGCACTGAATTGTTGCTTCATTCATTCATGGATTACTTTTGGAATTTTCTGCAGTAAGACGAACTTCGCAATTCCCCAGAGATCTGCACTTGGAAATGAAGCATTGATATGATTTAGTCAAAGATCAGACGAAAATTCAAACTGCTCGGACAAACAACATTCGGTGGTTCTGCCAGTTCTAAACTTAACGACCAGGACCCGCCGCGCCACACCCATTGTAAGAAACTACCCTCATTCCCTCATTATTTCATGGGTGAGGCGAAATTCCACTCGAGTAGCTTCTTCCTGCGAACCAATGCTTTGTGAAATCAACTCCCAAGAGGATGTTTCCCCGATCACTAAAATCTTTACCTTTTCAAGTCGAGGGATAACCGTTATCTTCCACACCTAGACGTATAAACTGCCCCTTAACGTAACCCTCTACCTCGAGTGGCCCTGAGGCCTTCTATAGGGTAAATCTTACTGTAATATATATATATATATATATATATATATATATATATATATATATATATATATATATAAATTAAAAAATTATAACATGTTATAAAACCGAAAGTGTTGAAACAAAATGGCTATTTTTGTAGTGATTTTATAACATATTTATGTTATAATTTTCGAATGAATGATTATATTTGCTTTACTCTGTATTGGGCACTCTTTTTAAGAATAGTATTTTGTTGGTTATTGGAATTTATTCCGCATATACCAATCCTATACTCAGATATATATATATATATATATATATATATATATATATATATATATATATATATATATATGCGCGTGCGTGCGTGCGTGCGTGTGTGTGTGTGTGTGTGTGTGTATGAAAACAAACGAAAAGAATCTAAATCAAATCGCCTAGATTTGGCTATATATAACCAAAAGATATATTTGAAAAAAAAAATTAATTCTCAGCCTCCTCTTTCCTTCATGCCCACGTGTCACTTTAGCCCGATGAAGAAGTCCTCAAGGCAAAACGCATCATTCGAAAAGTTTTTACACTTTGTCATAGTTTTTCCATATTATATATATATATATATATATATATATATTTAGTTATTATGGTGACAAAATTGTTCGCTTCCAGCAGTTATCTTTCCCCACAAACTGTGCCGCTTACTTTGTAACTCCCAAACGGGAGTGACCCTGAGGCCTTGTACAGCTTAAACTTATAAAAAAAAGCTCAATAATAGGGCAAATTTGAACTGTCCAATATAAAAGAAAACGTTTTCCGGCTACAGAGGCAAAATAAAGCACTTTTACGCCCGATCAAATCAGACAATCAAGTAAATAAATAATAAAGAAATTAACGAATTCTTCGAATATACAAATAACCACAATTAAGTAAATTTAATAATAATAATAAGTTAATAATTAACGCATAAATTAATGAATACTAAGGCTATTGACTAAAGTTACGATAGCAAACTACCTTTAACTAAAATATATTTACCTAAAATAAAATACTTAAAACTAAAATAAAATGCTTTTAACTAAACATTACAATGAGCAACGCGCAAGTTGGCGAAAGAAAATGAGAAGACTTTTGGGGAAGGAACCGGAAACCCAATCCAAAACAGGAAACAAAGGAAAAACATCTCCCCCTGTTCTAAAGACGGGGCAGAAGTGTGAACCGGATTACATAAAAACTGATTTTTCTACACTAATTTTTACCGATTAAGGTAAAGTTATATTGGATGGACCTGATGGTTTGTCTGATGATTGATTTTCTTTATGAAAACTGTCAACTAAAACAATTTGGAAAACACAACTTATGGTTTAACTAACGCTTTGATCCACTAAGCTATATGTGTTTAATTAAAATTACGAGAAGTTTACAGAAAAAAGAAGCACAACGACAGAATCGTTGTCAGTCTAACTGTAACCCCCACAGCGCTGCTCTCGTAGAGTTGATCTGTTATTCCCTGTCCCAACATTACCAAAGACGTAGTGTTCGTGGTGCCATCACTTGGTTTTTGATTTTCACGACGATCATCATGCGTATATCAGTGGATACAATCAAAGAAAATGGTCTGATGTATCAGCCTAGAAGAAGCTCACGTCATCCTGCACTTTACATCACCGATGCTGATTTTGCTGATGACATTGCACTGTTGTCTGACAACCTCATTAGTGCCCAAGCACTCCTTTCTTCTCTTGAATCAGCAGCTAACTGTGCAGGTCTACACCTAAATGAAACTAAAACTGAGTGTATGCCAATTAACATTCGCAACAATCATGAGATCAAAACACTCTCAGATAACATCGTCAAATGTGTCGAAGACTACAAGTATCTAGGATCACACATCAAGAGAAAGATTTCAACATTAGAAAAGGTATAGCATGGACTGCTTGTAACAAAATGGATAAGATCTGGAAATCCAATCTTGCTTGTCAATTCAAAATCCAACGTTTCCGCTTACTTATTGAGCCAATCTTACTCTACGGCTCTGAAACTTGGACTCTCTCAGCAAAACAACAGCGTCGTTTAGATGGATGTTATACACGTCTTTTAAGAAGAGTGCTTAATCTCTCATGGCGAAACCGCCCAACTCTACAAATGATATATGGTGACTTGCCAAGAGTATCAACTTTAGTTTGTAAGAGACGTGTCCAGTTCGCCGGGCATTGTGCATGTGCCACAGATGAACTTGTGTCATCATTTGTACTCTAGAGGCACCCATCATCTGACAATCGATCACGCAAGTTAACCTTTCCAGATAGGATAAAACGTGACACATTGATCCCTAAGGAAGATATTTTAGGTGCTATGACAAATAGGGAATACTGGAGAGGTGTAGTGAGTTCAATCTCGGCTGAGGCCGCAAGATGATGATGATCAACAAGCTGAAAGATAACCAAATTTTACGGTGATTTCGCCTAGTGGTCATTGTGATTCCGTAGTGATTTTAGTCGTGAAATTTTCGCGACCGTGACAAATTCTTTGTCTCTGCTGACAACCAATTTTACAGCACGTATCAACTAACTCTGTTTATAACTAACAGCGGGATTAATGTAAAAAATTGAAAAATTTTAAAGTATATAAGGAGTAAATAATTATTGATCTTTTTTCTGTAGCCTGGTTGACATTTTTTTCGGCCAAAAAATATTAATAATTTGAGAGACCTTGATTTCGACACTGTATTCTCGTCTATCTGGGCTTTTATTTGTGTGTTTGTAAGTGGCAGAAGATGTTGTAGCAGCAGGAATAGGAGCATTCTATAGGAGCCTATCTTATCATCTCTCTGTCTGACCTCATCAGTTCCTAGCTTTCGCCTGCTCAGTTTATATAAGGAAATGTTCACACCTCTGGCTTTATTGCATGATTTTCGATTAGACATTCATAACATTCTTTGCCACAAACAATGACTCTTTTTAGGACGCGTCCAGGTTAACCATCTGGGTTGAATTTTTATGCCAATATTAACGCTTGTGAGGACTAACAGTACTTTAAGTCAATGTAGCAAGAGTTTTTTTTTTCTGTCTTGGGAAATTTTAAAAGACCATAAGTCTTGCCATACTGTTCTGGAGGCAACCTGTGTCGGTTGGGAAATATCTAGTCTTATTAAATCTTAAGGAGTTCTAATTGGTTCATTTCAGGTTCAAATCTCTCTCGAGAGCTTTCTCTAAATTCATTTTGTTTTCTAATTATTATTTTTACTTTGTTCTTCCTTTCTTTCATCAACACTTATTTAGTTTCTCTGTGTTTTCTCATCGTTTAACAACCAAGATGAAGCACATAATTTCTCATTTCAGAAATAACGGCATATACTGTTGGGGGGGGGAGCTAATATTGTAAGCAGTAGATTTAACGATGGAGTAATGGATAGTGGCTCGGATTGAGAACTCGGAGAGCTGAGTTCGAATTTCAGTTCGTTAAATTCACTTACGTACAAATACCTTATATATATATGTTATAATTATTTTCTTTTTAAAAAATATGAATCATATTTTTTAATAAATATAATATATATATATAATAAGTGGAGATTTGATAAAATATAAATAAATTCATTGAGTCTGATATAAACCTCAACAGGAAAATTGAGGAAGCACTGGACGGCCGTTTCGTCCTATAATTGGGACTCATCAGCAGTGCGCATCCACCACCAGGTATCGAAAACCCTGACATATATATATATATATATATATATATATATATATATATATATATATATATATATATATATTTATATATATATATATAAAATATAAAATGTAAAAAATTAAAATTTTTCAGACACATTGGGTTGTATATTAATATATATATATTTTTTTATTATTTCAATTAGGTTTCTCGACTAGTTTCGGCCAGCATGGCCATCATCAGGAGAAATAGTAACAGTGAACTACAGGAGTGAATGACTGTTTCTGAAGAAATGAACTTCATTTCATTTGTTTTATCGTTAATTTTGTGAGTCCTTGTGTTGGTTTAACGGCCTCTTTCATATATATATATATATATATATATATATATATATATATATATATATATATATATATATATATATATATATATATGTTATATATATATATTTGTTTGTTTGTGTGTGTGTGTTGGTTCCACCAGTTCAGATTATCAAAGCTGGGGCCCACCAGTCCATCTATATGGCATCAAATCATCCTCATTCTCTTCTTATCAATTTGGTAAGGAGGATGTTCCAATCAGCCAAATTCATCTCGAAAACCGTTAATTTGTAGGGTAAACTCCCGAGAGAATGCTTCCTCGACTGCTACAATTTAAACTACTTCAGGCCTTGACTCAATCGATATCGATTCTACATATCCTCATAATATGCACTTACCACCTCCTGCTCCCTCCCTTACGATAATCCCACTCTGTAACCTTCTAACCTGGTTGTTTGTTTGGCTTTACTCGGTAGAGTAATGGCTAGCGGCTCGGATTGTGGAATCGGAGAGCTGAGTTCGAATTCCAATCGAATCCATTACATTCACTTACGTGCTAATACCTCTGGGAAGGGTATGAATACTCTTCTTCTCACCCCCCCCACCGAGTTGTATGGCTTTGGATGGCAACTGGTCTACCACAGAAAGAAATGGCAACCTAGTACCTTGTCAGTCATGAAGCAAAAGATTCATGGTCGCTTTAGCGTGTATCACGCATGGCACATAACTGACTGAACATATTTCAATCAACTGTCTGCTTGTTTACACTTACCCGTTATTATTTGTATGCCACTTGCGTCAAGTGTATGTATGTGTGCGTGTGTGTATAAACCTTTTATGGTTTCAACCTGTTTTCGAATTATAACAGAGAGAAATAACGTTAAAATGAGATATATGGCACTGTCACTGATTCTTTCAGACTAGCATTCTTGTTTTTGCTGTTTTTTTTCATTTTGACCGTTCCATATTCCGACCGTCTTTGCGCATACCGTTGCAAGAAGTAACTTGGAATACAACTCACACTTTTTCTATTTCTTTTTTTGTCCATTGGTAAAAAATAATTCTCAACCCCCACTATTTTCAATTCCTTTTCACTTTTTGTGTCAGCAGCGGTGGAGGTAAGTACTAATTAAGTCACTGGTACTTATAGAGAAGCACAATCCTTGTTATTTATGGCTATGACTATTTCAGGCGGCACGGTGGAGTAATGGATAAGCGGCTCGGAATCGGCAGAGCGGAGTTCGAATTCCAGTCGAATCCATTACATTCACTTACGTGCTAATATCCTTGGGAAAGGTTTGAATCCTCTTCTTCCCCAGCTAAGGGTAAATAGCAGGATTCTATAGCTTTGGATAGCAACTGGTCTACCACAGAAAGAAATGGCAACCTACTGCGGGAAAAATCTGCCTCGTCAGTCATGTATTGAAAGGTACATGAACGCCTAGGCGTGTATGACGCATGGCACGTAACTGACTGTTGACTATTTCCCGTATCATAATTCAATTAATTTTTTTCAAATAAGGAAGACATGTTTAATTCAGTTTATTTTCTAAAAAATGTCACACCAACACGAAATTTCTAAAATCGTATATAAGTATATTAGTTCTATGACTTTCTGATCTCTTCTAGAACTTCCTGAAAGCTTCTAGAAACTCCTGTACCCTTCTAGAACTGTCTGTAACCTTCTAGAACTTTTTGGAGTCTTCTACAAAATTCTGGAGCCTTCTAGAACTGTCTGGAAATTTATGACGTGCATTTTGTTCGACTATATAACAGTGATTTATTAAGGCAAATAGGAAAAGTATATTGTGGTTGTGATCAAATATTATTTTTTGTTTTGTTTCAGAGTATATAAGCTTCCTGATTGGGCAGCGCTGACTGATTTGCAGAAAGATCTCCAAGTATTCATTTTTAACCATAATGTCTCATAAGAAATTGCTTCTACCACTGAAAAGAAAAAAAAAACAAAAAGATCTAGACGAAGAATTCCTTAAGATTTCAAGAATCATATAAGAATAAAAGAATAATCACTGGGAAACAAAACCAGGATTCCAAACAAAATCCAAATTGTTGGTCGCAATCTGTTCCTTGGAACATCCATCAAAGAAAAGTAAGAACGTATAAAGGAAATCGCTAAAGAAGTAACAAGAATATGGCAAAATTTATTAACTAAAGTCATATTGATTTTCCAAGCGTAGCTTAGATGTAACACAAGGCTGAAAGTAGGGGGCACCCAGTGAGGATCGAACTCATTACTCAGTTGCAATTGTTCTAGAAAGACAAGCTTGCTAATCATTACACCGCCTCGAGGCGCCCAAAATTGTAATTTTCCAGGCGTAGCTTAGATGTGGCACAAGGCCTAAAGTATGGGGCATCCAGTGAGGATCGAACTCACTACTCAGTCGTAATTGTTCTAGCGAGACAAGCTTGCTAACCATTACACCACCTCGGTGTTCCCAAGGGATTTTCCAAGTGTCGTTTAGATGTAGCACAAGGCCGAAAGTAAGGGGCACCCAGTGAGGATCGAACTCATTACTCCGTTGCAATTGTTCTAGCGAGACAAGCTTGCATCGTCTTGAGGTGCCCAAGTAACTAAAGTCATACAAGCGAAACTGAATCAAGTTCTGAACACCTATGATGAATGGGCAAAACGAGGAAAATATAGTCCATTGAATAAAATTTTGACATCATAAAAGAAAATCTAAAATGGCTGTGTAGTGAGGAGAGACGATTATATCATGTTCAGATTGAAAGCAAAGTACATGTTGGATATACAACTGGAAAGACTGCGAGATCCCAAACTATTCATCCATTCAAAGCAAGTGACCTTAGAGTGAACTTCAACAACAGTAAATAAGCGTGAATATGAAGAGTCCGAAAGTCATAAAGAAGAATCCACAAGAAAAAGAAAGAGTATAGCAAAACCCAAAGTACAACCAATTTAGCAGCATCTTCAAATTTATCAACCAGCAAAGCAGCAAATGTTTGTCAGCAGTTATCGCAAGAAGGGATTGACGTTGAGACACATTCTAAATCTGGTATTTAGAGATCCACCATTCAGTCAGTTAAGTGCCATACGTGATACAGGTTTCATCATCATCATCATCTTGCGGCCTCAGCCGAGATTGAACTCACTAATACTTGATTGGTGTAGTTCATAATCTTGTCAAATAGCTGAATTCTTGAGGCTTCGCTAGGGCTATCAAGGGTGTTTTTATCGTGACACCATCTCTAAATGGATTGCCAACCAAGGCTCAGAGAGACTCCATTCACCCTCATCTAAGAGTAGGTTTGAATTCAGAGTTTGCCTTCTCCTAGACCAGTTGCCATCCAAGGCTATAGAACCCAATCTGTCCTGCTATTTACCCATAGCTGGAGGGAGAAGAAAGAGGATTCACACCTTTCCCAAGGGTATTAGCACGTAAGTGAATGTAATGGATTCGACTGGAATTCGAACTCGGCTCTCCGATTCCTCAAACCAAGCCGCTATCCATTACTCCACCGTGCCTCAGGTTTGGACGATCATGTATCTTTCTACACATGACTGACGAGGCAGATTTTTTTCCGTAGTAGGATGCCATTTATGTCTGCGGTAGACTAGTTGCCAACCAAGGCTAAAGAACCCAGTCTATCCTGCTATTCAACCCATAGCTGGGGGAGAAGAGATGGATTCATACCCTTCCCAAGGGTATTTGTACGTAAGTGTATCTAACGAACCTGACTGGAATTCGAACTCGGCTCTCTGAGTTCTCACTCCGATCCAATATCCAGTATTACATAAGCTATTAAACTTAAAGAAGAAAGGAAGAAAATACTACATTTAGAAAATTGGTCATGGAATTTTGATGATAGATGAATTGATTATCAAGGATATCAAGTGCTTATTTTGAAGAATGAAAGAAGTTATGAGCATTGACCCTATATAACACTAACCCTAACCCTAACCAAATGAAAAAACAGATACTGTCGTCAAAGGAATAACAGCTGTTCTGGATGAATACAATTTATGGAACAGGGTGAAGTTGATTGTTGCAGACACTACGAATATGAACACTGGAAGCAAGAATGGAATTGCCATTCAGTTACAAAGACCATTTTCTCAAAAGAAACTGGAAGAAGCACAGTTCATTGGCTGTCAACATCATGTTCTTGCCCGAGTGAGTCGCGTAGTAAGGAATAACGAACTTGGAGGAAACAATACATCCCACAGTAACGAATATCCCTTTATCCATGAACTTGTGAATAACTACGAACAGCTCAAGAAGATTTTCAAGAATGGTAAAGAAGAGATTATTGAAACTTCAGAATGGCATGATAATATGGAATTTCTATTTCATTTAACTCGAGGTTTCCGCCATTTCAAAGAAACTAGAATATATCCTAAAGTGAAGATTAAAAAAATACCTAACATAAAAAATGCAAGATAGAATCCTGGAGCAGTGCTAGCTTATTTGGCATTTATTCTTCTACAAGATAAAAGAAACTCTCTACTCAAAATTTGTAGATTCATTTCTTACACATGGACTAACCATTGCCTTACCGAAATTCCCAGAAAATAATCATTGTGCAGAATGAACAATCAAGTGTGTTCAAGATCTTTATGACATCAATAGAAAGGATAATTGTATATGCAAGTTTCCAATTTTGGTTTATTTGTAAGCTTGTATGTTATGCTGTAGTTATGAACTGTTAAATGCGTTCAAAATACATAAGTACTGTCCATTAGAAAATTCAAAAATAAAGCTTCTAAAATCTTTTGATTTTTACCCTTATTGCATATATGGTAAAATCACATTTTCTCGCCTGAATATTCGAGAAATCATATTAGAGAAAAATATGGCATTTCTCTAATAAAATTTCTCGAATATTCAAGCCGGTAGAGGAAACTAGATAAATATACTGTTTAATAAATAACTGGAGGGCTAATCAAATACGAGTATCCACTAAAATAACGTTATAAATATATATATATATTTTATATATATATATATATATATATATATATATATATATATATTATAGACGTATATATATATATATATATATATATATATATATATATTTGGAGATTCCTTCTACATTTAATAATGGGTAAGTTTCATATATTATTTGCTTTTATTTAACTTAAGTTAGATTAGGCAAAAGGGCTCAAATTTTAAGGGAAACCTTTTGCAGGAAGTGGAGTTTTTATTAATATTATTATTGAATATATGAAAAAGCATTCAGGTAGTGTAAGTCTCTCTGACCTGAAGTGATCTTGTAAATTACTTTTGAAAAATACATGCAACCTTTCATTTTTAGGAGATTCTTTGAAATCCTGAATTTGGCCCTATACTCTTAGCCTATAATATATACATATTGCATATTTCAGCAGCAATCCCTGTTTTATATAAGTTTCATTAGCGACGATTCACAAGGTAATGTGATTAAGTTTTTTATTCAATTTATCTTGCTTTCGTATAAGTGAGTTCATTTCTGGACAAAAAGTGTGTAAAAACTGTCCGAATGTTTTATAAACCCGAGCGCTTTCGGCTATTTTGTTAGCCATTATAGGGGATGTTTTTGTTTGTTTTATTTATAACAGAATGTGTATATATTTAGATACGTTTCTAAAATGATGGGAATGTTTTTTTTCCGAAACACGTTCAGCACATTATGGCCGTGTTCATAGTTGATTTTATTGAGTCCTGGCTTTTTCTTTTTTATTATGCACACGCATACACACAAACACACACACACCTATATATATGATATCCCTTTTTTATTTTTCTTAAATATTGAAATTAACAACAAGAGGAATAGATTAAAAAGACCAACTACCTAGGCAGGTTGTTATTAATTTCACTATTTAAGAAAAAAAAACAGCGATAATTTTATATAAAGCTATTTTTCCTGTTTATACGTTCTTTTTATTGGTACAAATATTTAAGTAAATGCTCTGTTTATAATAAACAGTATTAACGGCTTGAATGTCCGAGAAATTTTCATAGAAAATATGCGTCCTCCAACAGGAATCGAACCTGTATCCTATACGGAAGCGTCATATAGCCTGACGTTATTTACCGATTGAGCCACAGAGGTGCGTTTCGGTTAGCAAGGTTGATTTTACTGTTTTAAAACTACAATTCTCCATGATTTTCTCTCGTACATTCATATCTGCTCGATGCGTATCCAAATGTAAACAAAGGACGTCACTATTATGAAATGGACAGAGTCCGACAATTATTTTAAGATATATATATATATATATATATATATATATATATATATATATATCCTTTGCCCACCGTAACAAGACTGGCCACAACTTTGACATGAAAAATGCTACTCTGATCAAAGAAAAAAATAATTCACTACGATGTAAATGTCTACAGAGTGTCTTAATCGCAAGGTCATCTACAGTAAATTTGCGTCCTGACTCATACAACATTTCACCATTCATGGCAGATCTTCTAATATCACAATGTGTAATACTTACTTACAAAAGTTATGGCAAGAGAAAGAATGAAAATGAATTCGGCTGATAAAAAAAAAAAAATTCTAAAATTCCCAGCAACCCTCGTTCGTGCGCCTGTGTAATGGCACCAACATAACAAATTTAGTCCTATGAAGTCCTGAAAGACGAAACGCATCATAAGTAAACCCATAGCGTCTTAAGGTGTGCTATATTTATGGGATAAAGTGCTCAATATCAGAGATAGAGTGTGTGTGAATATAAATGTGTGTGTGAATATATATATATATATATATATATATATATATAATTATCAAAAGTGGATGTGCAAAAATCAACGGGCCGAGTTCGTAAATTTCACTTTTGCGCAAATACCCTTGGGAAAGATATGAGTCTATCTCTTCTTTCCTGCTTGCTATGAGTTAAATGACAGAGAAGACTGGGTTTTATAGCCGTGGTTGGCAACCAGTCTAGGAGAAGGACCACTCTGAATTCAACACCATATGTAGCCCTAACATACACATGCAAAATCATGGAGTTCACAATGACTTTAATATGTGTTGATGTATTATCATTGTTATCAAAAACAGTTTTTTTTTCTCAGTGCATTTGTATAAAAATAAACTTTAATGAAAATTTTAATAAACTATTTTTATGGATTTTTATTACTTTGTTATTATTTACATTTTGGTCAAGAGTATGTTCCGTGAGAGAATTGCGGATAGTGTAACAGTTATGTAATGTGTTGCGTTCACTCGGCACTAATAACCTTGGGGAAGGCAAGAATTCCTCTTTTCCTCAACCTAGCTTTGGGTTAAGTAGAAATACACATTTCGCTCTTTCACCTTGTGTTGTAAACAGACTAGGAGAATTCAGATCGGTTGAGTGTACTCTTGCCGTGAACCACAGGAAAGGCATTCTTTGCATGGAAGCTTGATCTGACCATTTACTGCAATCGATTCTCCACCAGCTGCCGTGGACCCCCGCCTTGCTGCCAAATCCGTAAAAAGGTGGGTTTGAACTCGTGCAACTACTTCATCTGCCATGTGTCACGTCACTTCAAAACATAAGCGATCATGACTCTCCACAACTTCCCAAGCAGTGTTTGCCCTTTGCCAAGGCTCCCGACCCGTTCCGCACAAACAAGTAAGTAGGTTGTTCCTTTCCCCCATCACCTTGCCCCGTGAGGGTTACGTTTTTCAAGCTCTCTCTCATTATGTGCCCAAAAAATGTCAGTTTTTTTTTCCTGATTCTGAATATTAGCGTTCTTTCTGTTGCCATTTTCTTTAAGACTTTTATGTCGTTTATTCGCTCTGTTCATGGAATTTTCAATATCCTTCTGTACAACCACATTTCTGCTGCCTCCATTTTTTTCTTAGAATTCCATTCATGCACACGCAGTTTCTAAAAATGATCCATCCTCCTCCCTTAGCAGGATATTCGCCAGATATAGGGTTGCCAGATAGGTACATAATTAATCAGTCGGTTATGTGCCTTACGTGATACACGCTTTCGATACATGACTGACGAGGTAGATTTTTTCAATCCAAGCCGCTTTCCATTACTCCACCGTTAAAACTATGCTTAGCAAAGTTGGGAGACTTCCCAGTGTATACGTTGATTGGTGATATAGCGTACTTTAGGAGTTTTCAAAGGGTGTCGATGGAACTATCCAGAGTGTTGATATATTCCTGGTGGTCAAAATGAGATCGATAAATACCTGCAGTCATGGGTCAAACGGAATCGATAAATGCTGAGAGATTCATTAAACTTTTTGGAGCAAAAACTAAATGCACGTATCTCACTGGTATTGTTATGTCGTTGGATTTAGAATTCGAAAATACAAACACTGAATCTCACTAACAAGTTGAACTCATTGATATATATGTGATATGTCGAAGCTAAATCATTGTTCAAAAGTAAAGAGCACTCGTGACTATTTCAGTTAAATACTAAAGCTATATACTCAAAACTAAGTGTAGCAGCTGAACCATTTTTTATTTAGATTCTCAAGTTCGTTATATGGTTGAAGCTAGTTTTAGCCACGCAGATACAATGCTAAAGAATGTAGCCGTCTCTTCTACACCAATAGCTTCGTATATCGCACCTCTCACCTGTGGAACTCCCTCCCCTTTTCCTGTTTCCCTGATAGCTATAATCTCCAACTATTCAAATGTAATGTCAATAGACATCTCCAGTTGCCTTGATCTATCCACTATCCTTCTCTTAATCCTTTCCTCTATCACTCATATCTGCTCTCGCCCAAAATATTATGTAACCCCTTGTGTGCTAGTGGCTTCCAGCCTTGCTTGGGTAAAAATGCTTAAAAAAATAAATAAATAAGAATTAAACGGACGAACAGACTGAGCTTTGGAGAGCGAGGTGACTTACGACTAAAACACTTCAATTTCCGTCTAAATATCAATAATCTTACTTCTGCTTGCCAAACACCTTCTTATTCATGATATCAGATAATTCAATGGCAAGGTATATTAATTTATTTTTAAAGTGTTTATTATTATTTATTATTACCTATATTATGTAAGATGTTTCTTCTTCGTCGTCGTTGTCGTCATACTTATATTATTCGAACAAACACAAAGGATAAACGAAAAACAGAAATTGAAGACGGAATAAAAGATCTTTTTCGCGAAACAACGATAAATAAAAAGGACAAAGGAAATTCTTTTCTTAAAAAAATTATCAGTCGTATTTCTTGTACATGACGGGAGGATTCCAGGAAGGTTTGGTAGACCAAAAAGTTTGGGGACCCTTAGTGTACGTGGTGCTACTGAATTAAACTCGTCCTACTGGTCTATCAGCAGTCACTTTTTATTTTTCAATAGATTTTTTTCAAAAAAAAAATTGTTGTTCCTTTTGTCTCCACGGAATATACGTCACAAATGCTGAAGCATGGTGATTTTCTAAGCGTATCTTAGATGTGGCACAAGGCCGAATGTATGAGGCATTTAGTGAAAATCGAACTCGTTACTCAGTTGTAATTGTTCTAGCAAGACAAGCTTGCTAACCATTAGACCACGTTGAGGTACCCAAAGGGTGAAGAATAGACCAATCAAAACGTTGTATTAACATGCTTTTTTTTTTTTTTTACAAGGCTCGGAGGCTATTCGAGAAGGTAGAAGGTTACGTTTGGAAGCCATTTGTGTGTATAGGAGAAGTAAACAAGGGTTTACCCCCAGCGCCTTGAACAGGTTAAGATTGTAGTCATCGGGGAATCATCCTGTTTTGAGTCGGTTCCACAAGGCAGAGATTCGTGGGAAGAAGCTGTTCGAGTGGAACTTACTTCTCACGGATGGAATACGGAGGGAATGTGGGTCGTTTGCTACTATGTCAGTGGCATGGCGTGTTCATTGTATAGAAAGAGATTCAATTGCCCGGGCAATATTCGGATACAGTAAGTATTTTCAAAACCATAAGATGTTATCTTCTCGTTGTCTTCTACTTATAGAGGTTAAATATTTATTTTTAAATTTTACGAAAATAAAGCTGCATGAACAAACGATAAAAAAGGAGAAAAATTCCCTAAACGCAAGAAATCTGTTGCTGACTGCTGCTGATAAAAAAGGTATATCATCAACGAATGCGCATGTGCATTATAAAAACGTCTGCTTTCAATGGAAAACAAGTTTTTGGTGATGGGGGTGCTTTCGGCATCAGTGAAGGGTTAAGCGCCTTCTACCGCCCAAGCTTGCAGTTAATATTTTAATTAATATTTTAATTAATATTCAAAAAAGGCGCCACGCATTCGAGTAACGGTTAGAAAGTTCATATAAAAAAACATTACTACTTTAGTGAATTTGGACCGCACTAAGTGCCTCACACATTTAAGTGAATACCTAAAGAGTGATCAAAATCAGTACCAAGCCTGTAATGAGTTCAATCCTCATTGGGAGCATTACCCTTGTAGTTTTGCGTCAGACTAATGCTAGTTCAAGTATTTCCGTTAAAAGACCGTCTCCTGTACGATCACCGAAGTTAAGCAACGTGGAACCTCGATGAGTGACCGCTTGGAAATAATACCAGGTGTTGTAAGCTTGGATGAGTGGGTGGTGTAATTGATAATGGCTAGGAATTGTAAATCGGGGAGCCGAGTTCTAATTTCATTTGGGTTCGTAAATACACTTATACGCAAATACTCTTAAGGAAAGGCATGAAACTACCACTTCTGTATCCAGCTATAGGTTACTTAGTAAGACTTGTATCACTAAAACCATTAATATCTCCCCTCCCCACCAAAATGATAAAAATAAAATTACGTACAAAAAATTTAGATTTCGATATTAAATAACCCATAGATGTTGACATGCTGCTAAACAAACCAACCGACCAAATATAAGCTTAGCTAGGAAAGTGCAATTGCTAAGTGTGTGTGTGTGTGTGTGATTGATTGAGTGACAGACGGAGAGAGAGTGAAGGAAAGAAATAGAAATTTAGAAAGAGAGAGAGAGAGAGAGAATAAAGAAAAAGCGAATGTAAACAAGCGAGAGAAATAATAAAAAGGAAAAGAGTAAAGAAATGTGTTGAGAGGAAACGTTATTGAAGGAAAGAAAGAAAGAATTAGTGGAAAGCGGACGGGAAAGAAGGAAAGAAAAAAAAAGAATGGAGTGAATATTAAAGAAAGGGAAAATGCAGAGGAAGGGCATGAAAAACTAAAAATAATAATGATAAAAAAAATTTTTGTGTGTGTGTAAGTGAGAGAGAGAGAGAGAGAGAGAGAGAAAGAAAGAGGGAGAGAGATTGAAAAAGAGTGAACGAGAAATAGAAAGAACAGGTACAAAACCTTAGTGAAAGTGAAAGGTAAAATGAAAGATGTAAAAAAAAGGAGCCGAATGTAGGTAAAAGAAAGAAAGAAAGAATGAGATAGAGAGAAAGAAAGAAGGAAAGTAAAAAAGAAGAGAGAAAGAAAGAAAGAAACAATGTAACACGGAAGTAAGGAGAAAATAGCAAAAAGTGAATAAAAGAAAAGAAAAGGGTGTAAAATCGAAAGAAGTAAAATATAAATAAAGGAGTAAAAAAAGGGATGAGATTGTACGGAGGGAGTATTAAAAAAGGTTCACAGCTCTTGAAAAGGAATAATAAAAATAAAAAAATCCGATATTTGGTCATTTGGTTACATTTTGAGCAATGAATCCGGCCAAGAATTTTTCAGAACTATTAGAGAAATAAAGATGAAATCGAAATGGAAAGAATGAAAGCGATAGAAAAAGAGAGAAGGAAGAAGTACGAAAAAGTGAAAAGAAAAATTGATTGGAGGTAGAGAGGGAGAGAAAGAAAGAAAGAGAGTGAGAAAGAGAGAGAGACGAAAGAAAGAACGAAAGAAAGGAATAAAGAAAGAAAAGAAGAAAGAAAGGACGAGAGGAAGAAAGAAAGAAAGAAAGAAAGCAAGAAAATGCGTAATAAAACAAAAAAAAAAAAATAAACGAATGAGAAAATGCTAAACGTGAAAAAAGAAGGAAAAAGTATAAGAAAGAAATGAATGAGGGAAAAAAATTCTAGAAAGAACGAACGAAAGAGAATGCCAAAAAATAAAAGAAAGAAAAATGGTGTAATATAGAAAACAAATACGATAGAGAAGAAATAGGTTGCAGAAGGAGAGGGCGTGAGGACAGAGAGAGAGAGAGAGAGAGAGAGAGAGAGAGAGAGAGAGAGAGAATATTGGTTGATTGATTCCTTTCCTACGGTTTATCAACCCTTTGCAGGTTATTTAAAGCCAGAATATATTTTTAGATTGCAAGGTTTTTGTTCTTGAGATAATAATGGTTAAGTAATACAAGTTTTACTAATTAGCTGGGGGGAAGAGGAGGTGGATTCATACCTTTTTTAAGGGTATTTGCGCGTAAATGATTATAACAAACCCGACGGGAATTGGAACTCAGCTCTCCGATGAACAATTCCGAGCCGTTATCTATTGCACCATCCGCACATCCATGCTTATAGCACCTGGTATTCCCAAGCGGTCTACCATCAAAGGTACGGACCAGGTTCGACGTTGCGTAATGGGAACTGATGTTTCAACGTGATATGGCCGTAAGCTCAGAGATAGAGAAAAGGTTAGATAGAAAGCGATAGAGTGAAAAAAGGGAGGGGGATAAAATGACAAAAATAATAAAGAGAGAAGAAAGAGCTCTAAGAGAGAAAAGAAGAAGAAAAAGTAAATAAGAGAAAGAAAGACAGAGAGAGAGAGAGAGAGAGAGAGAGAGAGAGAGAGAGAGAGAGAGAGAGAGAGAGAGAGAGAATCCCAAATGTGATATGAGAAAGAAAAAGATATAAAAATAAAAACAAAATAAGTAGATGAGAGGGAGAATGGGAAAGAGAGAAAGAACGAAAGAAATCGATAGAATTAGAGTGAATGCAAGAGAGAGAGAGAGAGAGAGAGAGAGAAGCAGTAACATATAAGAAGATGAAGGAAAAACGTGAGATGGAAAAGAATAGAAGGTAAGAGATTGTAGAAAGAAACGGAGAGAGAGAGAGAGGGGGAGAAGAGGAAAGAAAGGAATAGAAAAAAGAAATAATAAGAGAGAGAGAGAGAGAGAGAGAGAGAGAGAGAGAAACAAATAGAGACGAGGACAGCGAAGACAAAAAAAGAATGAGAGTAATATGAATGTCCGAGAAATTTCATAGAAAATATATCCTTCGACAGGAATCGAATCTACAAAAAAAAAAAAAAAAAAACATCATATGGCCTGACATGCTATTCTATTTAGCTGTAGAGGAAGTGTCAAATTACAGTTTTTAAACAACAAATTTCTCATGAATATCGTTGTAGGATACAGGTTCGATTCCTGTTGGAGAACACATATTTTCTATGAAATTTCTCGGACATCCAGGCCGGTAAATGTTATTAATACTGCTTATTATAAACAGAGAGTTTACTTAAATATTTGTGTCTATATAAATAATAATAGCATATAATAAAATAATTGTCGGACTTAGATCATTTCCTAACATATATATATATATATATATAAGAATGAATGAAACCTAAATAAACTCAATAGCAATTGTGTCGATAAAAAACGGGCCTAAGCCGCCAGAAAGTAATAGAAGGTTAAGCATAAACCCCATTAAAGGACATAACTTACGATAAGAAATGCTTAGCAATTTAGAACAGAGATTTCAAGTTAGAAAAACGACATTGAATGGAGCTAGAATACAACCCAAAACTTGTCAGAGATACAAAACCTCTATTTTCTAATTATATATATATATATATATATATATATATATATATATATATATATATATATATATATATATATATATATATATATATATAATCCTATAAGCCAGGCAAACCTCCCAAGGTTTAGCCTAAAACAGTATTTATAGTTATCGTCATGGTTATTTATAGTTATCGTCATGGTTCTGTTCCATAATTTTCCTTTTCAGCGGGCAGTAACCTGAAGATCCGTTTAGGTGAAACCTAGGTAGGTTTGCCTGGCTCCTTAGGATTATCTTAGGTTTTGCTCTTCTTAGTCTATTGAGCACTTTACGTAGTTGTCTTTTTACTCCTTTTGGATTTTTTTTTCTTTGGACTTGGAGCTTGAACATTGGACGATTGTTTTCGCCTTGTTTTAATGTTCTTGGTTCTTTCTTTTTTTTATTCCCCATTATTCCTCGGGTACCGATTTGTTCTACTTCAAGTCGAGCTATCCGAGGTTTTTCCAAATAGTAATACCATTTATATATATATATATATATATATATATATATATATATATATATATATATATATATATATATATATATATATATATATATATATATATGTATATATATATATACATATATATATATATATATATATATATATATATATATATATATATATATATATATATATATATATATATATATATATATATATATATATATATATATATATATATATATATATATATATATATATATATATATATATATATATATATATATATATATATATATATATATATATATATATATATATATATATATATATATATATATATATATATATATATATATATATATATATATATATATATATATATATATATATATATATATATATATATATATATATATATATATATATATATATAGGTAGAACGTTTTCATTAAGACATGTTTCATTAAATAAATTTAAACAAGATTTGTCTCATTATTTTTAATACTATCCTCTCACATTCACGGACAAGCTTTTCAGCATCTTTATTAAAGGAAGTAATGGGTGGCTTAACGGTTATCGAGATTGAAAATAGAATCAGCAAACCGTGTTCAAAACTCGGATAGAATAGATTGTATTCTCTTCTCACTAATGCTCCTGGGAAAGGTATGGACGCTCTTCTCCACCACATCAGTCTGTCAGCTAAGCGCCATTCACGATGTACACTTGGGCGATCATGTCTCTTTCGGTTCATGACTGACTAGGCAGAAAAATCTTCGCAGCAGGTTGCCGTTTCTTTCGGTAGACTGGTTGCCAACCAAGGCTATAGGACCAAGTCTGTTCTGCTATTCAATCCATTGCTAGAGGTGGGAAGAGATGGATTTATATCTTTTCCTATGGTAATTATAAGGTTCTAAGCTAGAAACATTTATTCAAAAAATCCTTGCTATTTTAGCCGAAGCAATATAATTTTCTGTAACTGTGCACTACAAGTACTAATAGTACCTTCCAGAGATGGGCAGGTAGTGTAACGGATATCTGATAGACTAGTTCAAATTCCGGGCTTATCTTTGGCGTAAATATCCGTCTGTTTTCTTCTCATCTACGGGTTAAATAGCACTGTAAACTTGACTTGTCTTTGGCGGGAAATAATCTGAAAGAAGGAAAATATGAATTCTAAAACGTGGAGAAAGCAAACCACTCCACTAGCAATTCTGTTGTAATAAAGAAAAAGAAGCCGTGGAGAGCCGTGAAAACCTACATCCTGAAAGGACACGGCCTTTAAATATATTTCAGGTATTTGAAATCGTTCGCTGAAATTTGTATGATACTGATGTACAATTTGATGCAATCTTTTAAATAATCCTCCCTGTTTTATAGTACGGATATATAAAGGTGTCGTTGTAGACAGTCTTTTCAGACGAAGTCGACCTGTTCGATGGTGGATGTCGACCGGATCCCCTCTCGTGTTGTTGATTAGACCAACACTAGGAACGGTACACTTTTTTTTGCAACTAGGGTATCCGAAAAGTTCTTGGATTGCAGAGAGGGTACATGCTGACATGTCGCGAACTAGTTCGATCACCAGGCAATTTTTCTCATTGGCCAAGGAAGATACTACAAGTCTTCAGAGTGCTCTTGATGTGGTCCCTGCATCACTTCTACTGACCCCCAACAGTCTATTCACATGACTACAGTTCACTTACAGGACCGGTGCAAGGGTCTCGTTTCCCCAATCTATGATACGCTTCCCATTCTACTATATCTCAATTTTAATAAGGCAGTATTCATATAAAATACAATTTTTATTGTAAGCTAATTATATACAATAATGGATCATATGCAATATAGGCGAAAAATTCAAAATAAATAAATTTATCTAAATACAAATTAGAGACATGTCATAATAGATCATTCCATCTTAAATAAATCAACAATGTTTTGCGGTAATTCTTAGCACTAACTTGACATTTTTCTTATTAAAAAGTTGAAGAATTTTAACACATTCAACATTTTAGATTTTAAAAAAATAGTGAATTTTATATAGTTTTTTTTTTCGAGACTTAGCATGAGCAAAACAAATTCACGGATTTGGACAAAAAATAGACCCCAGAATGACGTCAAAATTAATAGTCAATTGTGATTAGTTTTAATTTGTAACGTATATAAATATAGGTAGAAAAAAAAGCAAGTGTTGATAAGATAGCAAGGGTTACAAAGAACTGTTCACCAATCAGGCCCCTCACTTCCTCAGTCGCAGGGTTCGGCGTAGTACGCGCCGGCCCTGCTGAAGAAAGCACTTTGTCGGTTCTCAGGCATGCGGATGACATTGGCCAATCCAGCGCAGCTGTCGATCGACAAAAATGGCTTCGATGGTGGTTGATTGTAAACGGTTCCGAATTTTCGACTTGCGGTACCTTCTTCCACCAGGTTCCTTGTTGGCAGGGGTACGTGAAATTGTTCAAGAGTTCATGCGATGGTGTGGGGTCAACCATTCGCAGCCATATAACAGTGTTAAAATAGTTACCGCCTTGTAAACAATGACCTTGGTTTTACTGGTGAGCTTCCTGTTTAGGAAGACACGTTTGGAAAGCCGTCCAAATATTGCAGAGGCGAATTTAACACTGAATCTCTTCTGTCAGAGCATGACAGGATTAATTCACGGTTATACCATAGTAGGCATTCGTTTATCTAACGAGATAAAGGTAGCGCATTTTTTCCCTAACACACACACACACACACACACACACACACACACATATATATATATATATATTTCGTTGTTATGGTGACAAAATTGTTCGCTTCAAGTGGCATTGAGTATATTTCGCGCTACAATAAAAACAGATTTTCTCACTACTGGATAGTGAGACCAGGTTTGCAATTAATCGACAGGAGAGTCTGTTACTAACAGAAAAAAGTCATACTGTTCATTATATTGATTGATTATTTAGAATATCATTTCTATCCTTGTTGCTTCTTTTAATCATAATATTTCAGCTGATGTGTTCTTCGACCTTCTTCATTTTTTTAATCTACGCAATAAATCTCCAGGGATCTTTCGGAGATAGTTCCAGAAGTAAGGCAGACAAAGAATTGGATTCTTTCTGTTCATACGATTATTTACCATTCGGATTCTAGAATTATCTAAAAATATCTGAGAAAGGGTGAATAATACATTGGTCAAAATAATGACAAAAACAACAAAGATACGGATATTAGTCTGAAGAGTCTATGAAATAATCACATTGATTTGAAGAATTTTAGTCACTCTCCATTGAGGCAGACATATCCGGAATATGCGTTCCACATAACTCGCGGTCTCCTTTTGAAAGAAGTACGTCGTCAACTTTATATTGTCACCCTCAGCAGAGTTTAAACTTGGAGTACGTGATGGCAATTCATAAAACGAATCGCTGAAGGCATACGAACGATATCCTATGTGGCACATTATTGCAAAGATTCTCATCATAAAAACAAAAAAAGACAAAAAGAAATAAGAGAAAAAAAGGGAAAAAGAAAAAAGAGGGAAAAAGAGAGAAAAGAGGGAAAAAGAGAGAAAAGAGGGAAAAGAGAGAAAAGAGAAGAAAAAGAAAGAAAAAGAAAAGAAAAAAGAAAGAAAAGAGAAGAAAAAAGAAAGAAAAGAGAAGAAAAAAGAAAGAAAAGAGAAGAAAAAAGAAAGAAAAAGAGAAAAAGAAAAAAGAAAAAGAGAAAAAGAAAAAAAAAGAGAAAAAGAAAAAAGAAAAAGAGAAAAAGAAAAAAGAGAAAAGAAAGAAAAAAATAGAGAAAATAGAGAAATAGAAAAAAGAAAAAGAGAAAAAGAAAGAAAAATAGAGAAAAGAAAATGAGAAAATAGAGACAAAGAAAAAAGAAAGAAAAGTGAAACAGAAAAAAGAAAGAAAAGAAAAAGAAAATAGAAAATAAAAATAAAAAAGAAAATAGAAAAGTGAAAGAGAAAAAAGGAAAGAAAATAGAAAGGAAATAGATGAAAAGAAAAGTGGAATGAAAAAGAAAAGAGAAAAGAGGAAAGTAAAAGAGAAAAGAGGAAAGTAAAAGAAAAGAGGAAAAAAGAGAAAAGGAAAGAAAAGAGGAAAACAAAAGAAAAGAGGAAAGAGCAGAAAAAGATGAAAGGAAAGAAAAGTGAAGAGGATTAAAAGAAAAGAGGAAAGAAAAAGAAAAGAGGAAAGAAAAAGAAAAGAGGAGAAAAGAAGATAAAAAGAAAAGATGAAAGAGGAGAAAAAAAAGGAAAGAAAAAAAGGAAAGAAAATGAAAAGAGTAAAGAAAGAAAAAATAAAGGAGAAAATAGAAAAAAGGAAAGAAAAATAAAACAAAAGAAAAGAAAAATAAGAAAAAAAAAGAAAAAAAGAAAAAAAAAAGTAAAAAAAAAGAAAGCTATATTTTAAAACATGCCTCTAAATCAGCGATGCGAAGTGTGGTGTGGATTCCTGTCAGAAAGAAAAATTTAAATACGGTCAAACGAATGACCCCCAAAAAATATTCAGATGACGTCGAGTCTTAAGAAGAGAGAAAAAAAAAAAAAAAAAAAAAAAATTCCCATTGTCCCTTGTGCAGTTCGATTATTTGGATTAGTATCTTTATACTCTGATGGATCTGTTTTTCAGAAAATTCAGAGGGTGAGTACAACCTTTTGATTATTTATTCTACGTCCACCAATGACGGCATTCTATACACGGTTAATTTGTATCTTTTATATTTAGAAATTGTCTCTTCATAAATTAGCATCACAAATACAAAACCGGGAAAAAAACAAATCTTGTTTATCCTATGATAAGCGCAATTCATCGTTACTAGACAAATCTATTATTTCGAGAGAAAGTTATCAAGGGGAAAAGATTTTTGCTGAATTTGCTCCCTCGCAGCAGACATTATCTTCTGTGTGATTAACTTTTACACTCAAACCTTTTTTGCTCATAATTAAATAAAGATTTAAAAATAGTCTATATTAATTTATAGTTATTTCTGGATTTTTTAGGTACTTAGCACAGATGCAGATCACACAATGTTATCATTCAATTGCAAATGAGTCGGTGCGTTTTTGGCGCATTTTTAGGGTATGACGTAGGCGGTCATTGCTCTCAACAGATTAGATGCACAATTTAATTAATTGTGCACAAAATGCACAATTAAGAAGAGCAAGAGAAATCTGATGTCTAGTGAGTTAGAACAGGGATCGGCAACGTTTTGCTAACTATGTGCCCACTTAGGGTTTTAAAATCATTCAGTGTTCCAACAGCATACGTATTTTTTTTTATAAAATTCAAGGACAATATATCTGTTCTACAATATATTTTATATAGTAATATATAGTATATAATACTTTAGTATATATTAAAATTGAAACAGCTAAATATCTTCTTTGCGTTGTAGTAGTTTTTGATTCGGATTTCGTGATGTCATTTGCGGCTGCGTGCCATTGGAAACTGCTTGGCGTTCCAAATGTGGCACGCGTGGCGTAGGTCGCCGACTCCTGTGCTAGAAGTTGGTTCTCGATAGCGTTATCCACTGATAATATCAGTGAAACTTTGGCGTTTTTAACACAACTGATGTATGCAAAAACATTGTTGCCAGACTTGGACTGCAAGTAGTGAATTAGGACCACGCTTGAGAGGCGTACGTTATAACATTTTGAGCTGCCTTTTTTCTCGTTTATTAATTTATAATTAATTTATTATTTAAAGAAAAAAACATTAATGTAAAGAGTAGACCAAGATTATTTCAAAACTAAAGAATTATCGAAACTGAAAATTTTGTTGCATTGTATTTTCAAAACTAGCTTAAACTGGCAACTCTGTGTAGAAAGATTATTTTGTCATTGTACAAATATTTATAAGATAATAGTGAGAATAAATAACCACGACATTGGACACATACGCACATACATACAGACACGCGTACACAAGCACACAGCTAGGTTAAAAAGACTTCTCTCTTAAAAGGCAGGCCTTTAGGAGACAGAGATGAAACCCAGACTATCTGGAGAGCTGGGTATAAATATCTAATACATATGCATAAATATCTTAAAGTAAAATATCAGAGGATGCTCGTCTACTAGGGAGGCTAGCTAATCCTCGTTGCAGACGCCTGCTCAGGTACATTTGTGTTTGTTCAAAACCCACAGAGCCCACCTGTGGTTTATACTGCAACTATGCTGAACGGGCTTTAGTTACAGTTTCTGGAAGAGTTCGCGTTATCTAGCGTGATCAACGGTCTCAACAAGGCAAGCAAGCTCAAACCCTCGGTCACGATGACTTGTGACTTTGTGCTAGTCCAACCATAGACGGCTCTCAAATAGTTCCGTCTGCCCAAATTCACCCCAAAAGGGATGTGTCAACCAGTGGTATGGTTTTTCAGGTCCTTTCCAAAGGTGCCGTACACTGGAATCGCCTCCTCCAGACCGATAACATCAGGAAGTCACCTTCCTGACAAATCGACCATAGTGAGATTCGAACCCGAGTCTCGTGGTCAGAAAACGAACGTACTAAATGCCCATATAAATATCTAATACAACTAATATTGGACAGAGTACCCCCGTCTCAGAATAGTTGTTACATATGCATAAATATCTAATACATTTAATGTATCAACGGTTATTGAGTAGATGTAGTAATGTTTTATTGTGTAACTTTTATCAACAAATTTTAATTTCGATCTGCATCAGGAGGAGGCACGATGGAGTAATGCGGCCCGGATTGAGGAATCGAAGAGAAGAGTTCGAATTCCAGTCGAATCTATTACATTCACTTACGTGTTAATACCCTTGGGAAAAGTATGAATGTTGTTCTTCTCCCCTATGGGTAAATAGCAGGACAGACCGGGTTCTATAGCCTTGAAAGAGAACTGGTTTACCGTAGAATGAAATGACAGCCTACTTCGGGGGAAAAAATGCCTTGTCAGTCATGTATCGAAAGATACATGATCACCTAAGGACATAATTGACTGACTGGATCATTTTGCGGTTGTATTTTTACGTCTTATTATTCCGTAGCTAACATTCTAAAGGTATTCTATTTCGAACAAATTCGAGCACCATTGACAGCTTTCTTCCCCATTTCTTCCATGAGACCCCGTGATCTCAGTTTATCATTTCTCTAGCCTCAGCTGATCCACATGTTTTTAATCTGTCTTCATTGCTTCGATCTTCTGTTTTTATCAATCGACATCTCAAGGCTTTCGAAAGAAATTCTTTAGATATAGATTGATAAAATGTAATTTTAACATGGGTCAACAAAAGTGTAATAATATTGTGGACAGAGTAAATCCTACTTAAATGAAGTATTAAGCTATATCAGTGAAGACCTGTGGCATCTTGAACGGTAGAATTTAATTTAATCTTGGACGCGATATTTAAAGGTGCAAACGTTATTCTCGTAGAACAAACTCTAAACTCACGCTTTTACTATAAAAATGCATTTCAAATGAGGAAAAGGGGATTATCAGTAATCAAGAATAAATGGAAATTCTACTGAAAGAACAACGTTATTTAATGCATGCAATTTTTCTAAGCAAATCGTTTAAAGAGTACTAAACTTACGTTATATCTGTCCTCCTATATGGCAGTGAATTCTGGAAAATCTCAAAGATGAAGAAGAAACTTGAAGTAACAGAAATGTCGTTCTACAGAAGGATGCTGAGGATACAATGGACCGACTATGTGAGCAACGACGAAGTTTTAGAGAAAATGGAAACAAAAAGGAAGCATACTTAACACCAGTTGAAATTTCTAGAGCACATGTTGAAGAAAGAGGGTTTGGAAAATCTGATACTCACGGGACAGATTGAAGGCAAGAGACAGAGGAAAATAACGCATAACCTACTTAGTGAACTTGAGTAAATGGATGGCGAAATAGGGTTTAGGAGAAATAATAAAAAGAGCTACATAGAACAGGAAATAGTGGAGAGCCATGATCGCCTACGTTCCGAAAGGACACGGCATATAAAGAAGTCGAATTTGAATAATCTTAAGCAGCTTTGTTACACTGACGTCAAAGTGATTAAAGGAATATTTAAGAAAACAGTTACTAAATACGTTATTCGTTTAAGAATTCTACCAATTTTACTCGTTGAAATACAATGAAATGTCTTTAGAGTCACGCACAAAAACAATTATAGAGACATTTTAGAACTAATCCCTGTGAAAAAAATCAAGTAATCCGAGTCTTGACCCAAATCCTAAGCTAATAGATCCTAATCATCTATTGTAAATGAAGAAGAAAGAGATTGTCACTGGCCAGGAATTAATACAAGCGTTACCGATAGAACAGGGTTATTAAATGTTTAATAAATAAACATTTTCCATAGAAATGCATTGCAAATAAGGGAGAAAGGAATTGTCAATGGTCAGGAATTAACGCAAGCGTTACTAACAGAATATGACTTAATATATATAATAAATAAACATTTACTATATATAGACATTGAAAATAAGGAAGAAAGGGATTGTCAAAGGTCAGGAATTAACGCAAGCGTTACTAACAGAATGTGACTATTAAATATATAATAAATAAATATTTTCTATATAAAGGCACTGGAGAAAAGGAAGAAAGGGATTGTCAATGGTCAGGAATTAACGCAAGCGTTACTAACAGAATATGACTATCAAATATATAATAAGTAAATATTTACTATATAAAGGCATTGGAAATAAGGAAGAATAGGATCGTCAGGAATTAATGAAAGCGTTGCTGACAGAATAGAGCTATTAACTGTATAATAAATAAACATTTACTATAGAAAGGCATTGAAAATAAAAAAGAAAGGGATTGTCCATGGTCAGGAATTAATGCAAGCGTTACTGACAGAATATGGCTATTAAATGCATAATAAATAAACATTTTCTATAGAAATGCTTTGCAAATGAGAAGTAAAGAGATTGCCAGTGGTCAGGAATTAATGCAAACATTACTGACAGAAGACGGCTGTTATACAAATAATAGATTTACAATAGAAATATATTGCAAGTGTGGAAGAAAGAGATTGTCAGTGGTTAAGAATTAATGCAATCGTTACTGGCAGAATATGGCTATTATATGTATAATAGATAAACATTTGCTATAGAAATGCATTGCAAATGAGAAAGAAATGAGTGGGTGGTGGTCAGGAGTTAATGCAAGCCTTACTGACGGAATATGGCTATTATATATATATATATAATAAATATTTATTATAGAAATGCTTTGCAAATGAACAAGAAAAGGATTGTCAGAAGTTAATGCAAATATTACTGAGACAAGGGGTTTATTATAGGTATAATCGATAAACAGGTACTACAGAGATATATTACAAATGAAGAAGAAAGGAACATTAAATGGTTAGGAATTAAAATAACCGTTACTGACAGATATAAGAAAGCTATTATATGTATAATTACCGTAATTCCCCATGTATAATACGCATTTCTAAATAAGCAAAATCAGTGGTGCGTATTATGCACAGCTACAAAAATTCTTTAAAAAATTGTCGTAAAATAAAATAAGAATTATTATAAAACTAAATAAGAATAATATTATTCTATATTTAAAACCATTTTTTTAAAAATAAGAGTAGGAAACGCTGACCGTAATGAAATTGGAGAGGTACAATTTGTAGGGTTTGATTACCAAACAAAGGGTGCGCATTGTGCATGAGTAGAAGCATTTTCTCACACTTTCAGTACAATTTTAGGTGTGCGTATTATGGGTGAAAGCGTATTCTAAATGGGGAATTACGGTAATAATAGATTTGTTTACGTTTCGGATATAAAACTGATATGGGTTCTCGAGAAAATCTGGGCGAAGTGAGTATGTCTTTAAAGACAAATAGAACATTGTTTAATTGTGAGGCTCTTCGTGGCTGAGCGGTTAAGGCGGGCCGGGCCAGACAGTGTTCCTCACTCCCTACCTGCAAAGGGAACGCAGGTTCGAATCCTGCCGACCGGCACATTATCTTTGATAAGTTTCTGCGAGTGAACAGGACGGCTGATGAAATAAATAATGTTTAAGATAAAACGGGGCGTTTACTCAAATACGGGTATCCACTTAAAAAATGACGTATAATTTTAGAGTGCGACAGAAAAGCCTCCTACATTAGGTAAGACATTAGTGGCAATGGTGTCTTCATCAAACTAAAGTCTAACCATTACATATGGGGAGGTGGTATTTCTGCCACACCCTCTCTCTCTCTCTCTCTCTATATATATATATATATATATATATATATATATATATATATATAGATATATGTTTACGTTAAGATAAGCTTCGAGCAGATTTGATCGTTCAAGATCGTGGGAAATTTGTTGTTCAAAAACCGTAATTTGACTTTGCTCGCCAGACGCTTCCTCTGTAGCTGAGTAGTATAACATGCCAGATCAAATGAGAGTTTCATATAGGACACAGGTTCAATTCTTGTCGGAGGACACATATTTTCTATGAAATTTCTCAGACATTCAGGCCGGTAAATGTAATTAATACTGTTTATGATAAACAAAGCATTTACTTAAATAATTGTCGGACTTAGTCCATTTCATAATATATATATTTGTGTGTGTACATATATACATATATATATATATATATATATATATATATATATATAGTTGAAATTAGCTATATTTATAGAGGAGTGCTCTATATAGGTGACATAACCGTTTATATATATATATATATATATATATATATATATATATATATATTTATGCCATTCGCAGACAGTACTGTTTCGCTGTATCACAGCTCCTCAGTGCGACTAGACGTCCGAATGCCTCAAACTCGGATTGAAACCCAACAAATTTCGTGTCAGTCAGAGTTTAGAGAGAGAGAAAGAGAAAGAGAGAGAGAGAAAGAGAGAAAGAGGGAGAGCTTGTGGTCATAGGAACCAATACTGCACGATTCAGACTTCAAAGTCAGACTAGTCTTACGATTCAATCTTACTATTATGTGGGACGTATTTCTAGGAGGTATATGTGGGAGGTATTTCTGCCGCGCCATGTATTACTATCGACATAAGGTGTTTCAGAAGGAAATTTATTGCTGAAAATTAATACAAATAGGTACTTGCTGTATAATGTCTATCGGTGCGAAAAAAAAAAAAAAATAGAACCAGGTAGAATCGATCTCTCCTTGAGCCCTGGTCTGTTGTCGGATCTCTCGAAGCGATGGCTGGCAGACAGTGCAGTTTAATCAAGGAAACTTTCTCTGCTACTGGGACTCGATAACTCAGTACTGTCTGTCTCCTATTTATTAGCGTAGAGATGGGTGCTACCAAGCAGCCCCCTAGACCTTGCCTTAGATATAAAGGAACCAACATAGAATTTCGACGATCCCCTAGATCCCCGCTCAACTATGGAAAATGTATAGAAATACAAAAAGACCAAAGAATCCTACAAAGCGAAAAAAAGAAGATACTATATGAAAGCCGTTCTCAAAAACAAAGAAATTATACACACACACACACATATATATATATATATATATATATATATATATATATATATATATATATATATATATATATATATATATATATATATATATATATATATATATATATAGATAGATAGATAGATAGATAGATAGATATAATTGTATACTTGGGCAGCAATCCTCTTTTATACAAGTTTCGTTAAAAACGATTAATAAGATACAGAACACTCGGACAATATCTACATAATTTATGTCCAGAAAAGAAGAAAATTATAAGAACACAAGAAAAATTAAAAAACTTAACCGCAATATCTTGTCAGTCGTTTTTAACGAAATTATATATATATATATGTGTGTGTGAGTGTGTGTGTGTGTGTGTGTGTGTGTGTGTGTGGAATAAAATAATACAATTATAATGCTACCGATGGTATACGTAAAATTGTATAATTCGGCTTGTATTAAGGCTGAACAGAATTTCAAGCAATAATATATTCGATAGTTGTCTTGAGTAATAATTATTGTTTCAGAAGTAATTAAAGTTCTCTAGTACTTATCGGCTGTCAACTCAGAATTTAGTGATTACTCGCTCATTGGGATCCAGTCAAGAAGGATTGCATTACACAATGTATATTTCATAAACTTTTACCTTAGATTTACCTTATAAAATAATAAAATGTACTTCCTAACAAGGGTGAAATCAGGAAGTTCTCAGTCGACCTCCGATAAGTATTCTCATCTATCTATCTATCTATCTATCTATCTATCTATCTATCTATCTATCTATCTAAAGTGGACACTGAGGCCAATAACAAGCGGCGACAGACTGTTTACATACGCACTATCTCTGATATTAAGTACTTTTACCTATGAATATAGCATATATATGTGTGTGTGTGTGTGTTGTGTGTATTGTGTGTGTATGTGTGCGCGTGTGTTGTGTGTGTGTGTAGAGGAGTAGGGCGGAAACTTTATATAATGTGAATGCGTAGTTATATATTTGAAACGGTAATGGCAATAAAATAGTTTCCTGTTCAAAGTCATTTTGGAAATGTCTACTAAAAAGAAAGGCTGGTTCTTATTTTGGAAATGTCTACTAAAAAGAAAGGCTGGTTCTTATTTTGGAAATGTCTACTAAAAAGAAAGGCTGGTTCTTATTTTGGAAATGTCTACTAAAAAGAAAGGCTGGTTCTTGTCAATGTCAGAGGATGATAGAATTTCGGAAATGTTTCCTTGTGCAAACAGAAGGTTTTCACAAAATTCCTTATCCAAAACACCTGGGTCCAGACACGATTCGCTATTTTGGGGATTTGGGAATGTAATACAGTATATAAAGTAGAGAATTTAAGTCCTATATTTTGAGGACTTATTTCTTTATGGCAACAATGTTTGTACGAAATTTAAAGCCAATCTTAACTGGATTTTAATTTTTTGAAACCTTTAAATATAATTTGAACATTTAACATTTTACATTTTTAAAGATAAGTCCTCAGCGAAAACACATCGATTGAAAATTTAATTTTAAGCCGCGTAAAATTTATGTTCTAAATGAAAAAATTAAAAAACAGAATATGATTTTAAATTAATTTTTTGATAAAATATTCCGTAAAATTTTGAGTTCCGAAACTAATCGTTGATAATATTTTAAAGATATTTTTCTTTTATTTAATTATTACATTTTTTTAAAAATATTTTAAATCATGAATTCTTCGGGACAATTCTGAATGTTTGTTCTTCAATAAATACGTTTTAATAATAGAGTATTATAACGTTCAACAAGAAAATTTCAAGATGTATTTGCCGCCACAAGTAACAGAATCAATGCAGTCTGTCCCTTTTAATCTTTTATTTTGTGTGCGCTGTTATGGGATCATTATTCTGCATTTTACCTGTATCTAATATCACATATGATTTTTAAAACTGTTTTCATCTTTATCGCTTTTCAGACAACGCCTTGATTGTTATATTCTTTGGCATTTCTGTATTGTTTGAAGTTCTGTTTTTGTCTTATATATCTGTTTCCAGACATTTGTTTTTATATTTGTTGCGTTTAACAAGGTTAACAATGATGAAGTACCCTTAAAATATGTCATAATAATCGTCCATAAGCTCAGGTTTCCAGACAATACGAGAAAGCATAAGAAAATGTCGGCCAAAATATTGTTTTAGTACTATTAGTCTTAATATAAAATAAATTATTGCATGAGCAATCTTTTATGTTGGCCCCAGTTGCATCTGTTCGATGCTAGTGAAGCGTTGTAAAAAAAAGGTTCAGCAATTGTAAAATTAGAGTGGATTCGATCATCAACAGCTTTAACCTGATCCGAATAAAAATATTGTTAAACGTAACAAATTGAAGATAACAGTCTGAAAAAGAAATTGAATAATTCAAATAGTGCCTTACAGACCTTTAAACAATACAGGAAGACGAAAAGAATACACACACACACACATATATAAATATAAATATATATATATATATATTGCTGAATATAATCGTTTAAAGAAAATCTGAAAAATATAGAAAATGATTTCGGTGTTTGAATAATTGGCACTTGTAAATTTCTTTGTTTAATGATCCCATTAATTCTATCTAAGTGTTTGCTTACTGAGTTCCGTCTGCATCAAAATGAATCTCGATCTGCGTACAAAATTCAAAATACAAGAGAAATAAAAAGCCTTACCTGCAATGAAGTTTCCGGGAAACAACGTAAAAATATCCTTGATTAAAAAACAGCGAAACAAACAAAAAAAAAAGTCCGTAGATGTTTGTTGAAATACTTTTCCTTTTGATGATCAAAAATTGCAACCTTATCGGTGATTATTAATATACTCTGTCCTTATTGCTTACTCGCCTATCGAGGGCCATCTGTCATTGTCACCAATAACTAAGACCCCGTTTATTTCTGATGGTACCGATCCGAACTGTTCTTGTCCAACTGAGAACTGGACGGAAAGTGGGCAACTTTTACTGTTGTAGCACTGATTACCACTGGTCAGACAGGATTGTGTCACGTGTTACCTCTCCCCCTTCAAGAAAAAAAGGGGGTTTGTGGACAGCAGACACAAAAGGCAAAACTCGAAAAGAAAAGAGTGGGATTTAGAGAGGGGAGAGAAAGAGCACAAAACTCCTATAATCAAGAGAGTCTTAGAGAGAGAAAAAGAGAGACAAAGAGAGGGAAAGAGTGAGAGTAGATAAAGCAAAAATGTTTTGGCGACGTGAGAGAGTAAAGTATCCCATGATGCTTTGCGAGGGGCTTTCTGTGTTGACTATGTCGTTACCTCAAGAGTGCTTTGTTTTTGAAAGCCCCGTTCTCCATAACGTCCACACTGTACACCATTTAGGATTCTGGAAGTTTGAAATGATAGCCAGACAATCTAAACAGGGAGGGAAACGAATTTTAAACTTAAGGCCAGGTAGGATTTTCTTTTCTTTTTTTCTTTTTTTTTTTTTTTTAATTTATAGCCATTCTTGGATTTGTTTTTGTCGTTCCTTTTCTTATTGAATGTTTCAAGGTTGATTTTTATTTATTTTATTTTATTTTATTTTTTGTTTTTGTTTTTCGTGAATTTTTATTTTCGTTTCCAAATCTTTGTCCGGGATTGTCCGCTTCGAAAGTGATAGCTTCTTTTTTGTTGTTGTTGATTATTTATTTTAAACGTTTACAATCTAGTCCAGAGTTTTCGAGGGGTGGGGAAAAGTTTCCTTTTCTTTTTCTCTTTTTCTTGTAAACTTTACACATCGTTTATTTAAATTAATTAATTTATCTTCATTATTAAATTTTTTTTCTCGTTTTTTTTTCTTTCTTTTGAATTTTATATTTTCTTTCCATTTTCGGCCAATTTCTACATCACTAAGTCCGTTGCCTAATGATAAGAAAATCTGCTAATTTAGACTATATTTTTTCAACACAATCTCCTTCGTTGTTAATGCACTTAATTTATCGATGAGTATCAATCACGTAGATCGAATTATGGTCAAAAATTCGGCTAGTAACTCCATATTAGGATACGGATTTATTGATTCTGCTCTCGTACATGCGTGTCGTGGGTTCTTGTTTGTCATTGACGGAATCTATAAACCATTTTTTATTTTTATTTTTAACATTGTGAAAGTTAATTTTGGTTGTTGTTGTTGTTGAGTTGACTCTCTGCAGTCGCGTGTCTGCCCCCACCCTTTTCTATTTGCCCAAAACCCACCGTCCTAAGTCTTTGTTCTTTTCTACACCTGACCTTTTGACTACGACTTTGAAAATTCCCGTTCCAAACTTATTATTCAAACTTTAACTTATTATCGCTGAGATTTTTTTTTTGTTAGGTGATTGAATTTTCTTTTCTTTTTTTTTTTCTTACCGGAAATTAATTTTATAAACTTGCGCCACTTTGTAACCCGAGTCGTGTTTTATTCTTTGTCTCACACTCGTGACTTGGTCATTATCGGACTTATAAACTATTAGTAACAATTTAGATTGATTTTTTTTTAACTTTTCGGAAATTTAAACATACTTTTTCAAGGCCTATCTGTTTATTTTAAATTAATTATTTTTTTAGTAATTCGCTTTTTTTATAAAGAAATTTGAAAATATAAGATTATAATTTCAATCGAACTTAAAATAAAAAAGGACAAAGGACATCAAAATTTTAAGTACAACAAAACCATTACTTGGACTTGCGTGACTATTGACTGTAATTTTTTTTAAAATTTTCACCAAAAATGACTAATTTTACTTTATCTTTGATTTTCTTTTTTAAATTCTTCATTTTTTTTAGTTAAATATTTTTTTAAATAGTATTTTCTTTTCTTTGTTATTTCAAATTAATTGTAACTATTTAATTAAAATTAAGTTTAATCGCCTCGAGCTAATTTTCAATTATGATCAGTTCTTTGTTAATTAGTTGAAATCCGAAATTATGGATGTTTTTTTTTTTTTTTATTTGTTTGTTTTTTTTTGTTTTTTTTTTGTAATTTTGATGTATTAACAAGGAAATATTTACCGATTATATTACGAATAAAAAAGATTTTATCCGCAAATTGATTTCTTATCAATCGTTAAGAATTAGAAAAAAAAAGACGTTCGGAATTTGGTTGCCTGAATTATTCTTTTTTTTTTTTTTGTTTTTAGTAAAAAAAAAAATATTTTAAAGAAATAAACGTGTTCGAAAGAAACAATGTATTTCAAATGACCTCGCGAAACAATTTCGTTTATCCTGTTGGTAGATTTTTACTTTTTTAACTTTTCGTTGTTTTATTCAATTTTTTTTTTTCTTCAAATTTTGAAGGAGAAACATTTATTACTTTTTATTATCTTATTTTAAAGTTAAAATTATTTAAAATTTATTCTTTTACAAGAAAAATAATTAAATCACTAAAATTTAATGTTCTTTCTTATTTTGATTTATTTATACTTTCTAAAGAAGTAATTGCGCTAACATTTAAAACTACTTATAAATATACTTATCTGTTTACGGATATAAGAATTACTAATATATATATATATATATATATATATATATATAATGTGTGTGTAAAGTTTTAGAAGATTCACATATGTTGCGGCGTCTTTAAAAGTAGTTGTTGATTAATTTTAGATTTTTAAATAAGTCTTTATTAAGCGACAAACTTCCTTTTAAGAGCAGGGAAATGTTTTGTATCTTTTTGAAGTTCACACGAATCTCTTATTGTGTCTTAGTCATTTCAAAAAGTGAAGCCCGGCAAAGGATTAAAATTATTTTGGATTATTTCGTAAATTTTGGTAAAAAGTTTTTAAAAAATTCCATGAGTAGATATTTCA